CACCTCCATTTTTGTCAATAATACAGATCAAAATGTCTTGGTGTTTGAAATGTAGACGTCAGCAAGTGCCTTCCTACGAAGGAAGATGAGAGTGACAGTTCTCAGCCTTATGGCCACATCCTGGCTCGCCTCCCACCCATCACCCTTTTCCAGTTCTCCATTGCTACATCAGGAGTTTTGGTTCAGTAAATGTCTGTTGATGGACTGGAGAGATCGTACGGGGCATACGGTGCTCGCGTTTGCAGCCAGCCCAGCTTCCATCCAACTCTTGGCACCGTGGAGAGTCCCTTGAGCCAGCCAGGAGTGGTCCCTGAGCACTGAGCCAGCAGAAAGCCCTGAGCACAGCTGGGTGAGGCCCCCAAACAAACAAAAAAGAAAGAGGACCCTCGGAGATAGCACAGTGGCTAGGACCCTTGCCTTACACACTGCCAACCCGGGTTCTGTCTGCGGCATCCCTAGCACTGCCAGGAGTAAGTCCTGAGCATTGCCGGGGGTGGCCCCCAAACAAAGATGAAACAGTGGTAGAGCTCTTGGTCCTGCTTCTCTGGGGAACTCGGACTAACTTTCTGTGCGTGGTTCCTGGCCCACCCAGGGGACATTAGGAATCGAAGAGACCCCAAGGGAGGCAGGAGGGCAGCTTTGCATGTACCGAGCCTGAGATCTCCACCAAACATCGAGGTGCAGGGAGTAGGATAGAAGAGCCTGAGCTGGAAGCAGCTTGTGGGAGGTCATGTGACTCAGCCAACTGACGTAATTTCTTCTAATGGCTTTGAACAGTCCTCGGAGACTTTTCCAGGCTCCCATGTGATTTCTTGGGACAGGAATCCAGACCTTATCAGTGGAACCTTGCCTGGCCATCTGAGCAATTGGGCCAGAAATGCCACATGGGCGAACACAGTCTACTTTCCCTGTGGCCTCAGGTTAGAAGGCCTGGGAGCCGCTGCGGCAACACGAGAAAACGAATCTGAGAGGAAAAGGGGTGAGGGAAAGACAGAGACAGACGGACCCTAGACATGGTTGTGAGCCTGATCGAGCTGAACCTGAAGCCGTCTTGACATCTCAGTTACACGTGTTAATAAATTCTCATTTCCCTCAGTCTCCTTTGGATTCAGTTTCCTATTAATTGAGACAGGAAGTGCAGTCCGGGAAGAGCCAGCCAGTTCTTTCTTTTGCCAGATAAAACTTGCGAAATCCAGAAAAATGAAGACTTCCCAGGTCACACAGCTGCCGAGCAGAGGGGTAACCCAGCCCGTTGAGCAGATTCCCTAGACTCCCTTTGGCTGCTGTTGTTTGGGGTGAGGGACCCCGAGCAGAGGAGCACGGGAGTTGGGGGGGTGCACTGGGAGCTAGGCACTGGGCCATCCTACCGTGTCCACCCTCCACCCGGGACCCCGACACTCTCATCTGCAACAGGGGTCACTCCCTGAGCCGGGGCTCCTTGGAGTCTTCAAAGCTGCCCCTCCCTCCTCTTCTGGGTGCTTCCGGGCCCCCTCACCCCCACGTGCAAACTCCCCTCTGTGCCTGGAGTACTGACCCTTGTCCCCTGGGTGTCCTCCCCTGCGTGGCTCCCACCTTCCCTTTCCAAGCTGAGTGATAGGGGTCGTCCCAAGCATTCACAAATGTCCCCCAGCAGGCCCCCCAACTGTTTTTTTTTTTTTGCTTTTTGGGTCACACCCGGCGATGCTCAGGGGTTACTCCTGGCTTTGCACTCAGGAATCACTCCTGGCAGTGCTCGGGGGACCATATGGGATGCTGGGAATCGAACCCGGGTCAGCCGCGTGCAAGGCAAATGCCCTACCTGCTGTGCTATCCCTCCAGCCCCGCAACTTTTGTATTGGGGTGAAGGGCTGCAATGCATCCTCAGGGGGCCCTCTCCAGCCACCAGACACCCCAGCCTGCAGTCGGCACAGTTGGGCAGGGGCCCTGGAGGCCTGACTGGGGAGAGGCTTGCTCAGTCTTGGGGATGCTGGCCTGAGGCTCAGTGCCCCAGGCGGGGGGTGGTGGTGGTGGTGGGCAGGGCTCCCTTCTGTACCCTTCTTGCCAGAGCCCAAGGGAGTGGCCGTCTGGTGCGCGGCTGGTCCGCTCTCCTGGAGGCGGGTGCCAGGCCCCTGCCAAGGCCCAACCGGGCCAAGGTGAGCTGAGGACACGCTGCCCTGGGTGCCAGGATTTCCCCAGGCTCCTACTCACTCTCGGTGCTCAGCACATGTGTGCTTGGCCCATCCTGTGCCCCTCCCCCCATGTCCCCCCCAACAGGGGTTATTATTAGCACCCCAGGGGACAGGACCTGCCCTGGGCCACAGAACATCCTGGAACTGGCAACGAAGCACCAAGGGCAGAATGCTCTAAAGGGCTTTGAACAGACAGACACGGGGAGCAAAGGGCTCCCTGAGGAGGGACCCAACTGATTTCTTTTTTTTTTTTTTTGCTTTTTGGGTCACACCCGGCGATGCTCAGGGATTACTCCTGGCTCTGCACTCAGGAATTACTCCTGGCAGTGCTCAGGGGACCATATGGGATGCTGAGAGTTGAACCCTGGTCAGCCACGTGCAAGGCAAATGCCCTCCCTGCTGTGCTATTGCTCCAGCCCCAGAGCACCGAGTTCTAAGTGTGGGAGAAGTCAGGTGTATGGAGTTGGGGGGGTGGTAGGGGGAGGTCTCAGGGTGGATCCCCCAACTCCAGGCTGAGACCCCAAGGTCTGAGCTGGGTGAACTGGGTGGCTCTGGGCAGCCAGGAAGTTGGCTTGTTTTTATGACCCAGGATGAGTTTCTGTAGCCTCTGTGTGTGTGTGTGTGTGTGTGTGTGTGTGTGTGTGTGTGTGTGTGTGTGTTCAAATAGAATCCTCTGCAACTGGGCATTCCCAGCCCTGGGAAAGGGCAATTAAAACTTGGGCCTCACGAGGCACCCACAGTCCAGGTTGTGGCCCTGAGGCAGGAAAACAGCCAGTGCGATGAGGCCACACCTCGCCGTGCGGACAGAGTCTCTGCACAGATGTGGCAGAGGACAACGTGACCAGGTTTTGTCTCCCCTAAGTGATACGTGCATGCTCATTAGCTCCTGTGCTGTGGTTTCCTGTGCTGTGTTTTCTTCTCAGTCACGGTGACTATGGGAAGGGGCACCTCAAGGGTGGGGACAACGAGGTCTGGGACCCACTGGAACCCAAGATCTCTGGAGTCAAGAACATTCAGTACAGAGGAGCAAGTGACCAATGAGGGACTCCGGGCTCATTATCATATCATTAGAATAAATTGGCATAGAGGAAGTCCCACCCATACCACAGCTTGTGGCAGGGTTATGGCAACCGCAGGAAATGACCAGAGAGGGTTAGCATCTGCAGGCAGTTTGACTCCGGGCAATTGTCCTACCCCAAACCTCCTTTTTGAAATACGAGAAAGATTCCACCCCTCGTTATCTGACCATCATTCCTGTACCAAGGCAGCTGAGACACTGGGCAGAAATGCCCCTTCTCAGGCCATGCACCCTTTTGGTAAACTGCTCATTCTTCCTTGCTCAAAGCGTGGCTAGACATTCTGTTTTTTTTTTTTTTCCCGTTAGTTTTGGGACCACACTTGGCAGGCTCAGGCTCACTCCTGGTAGTGCTCAGGACCTTGTTTGTGGTGCTGGGGATCAAACCCGGGACTCCTGCGTGCCAAGCCTGTGTTCAGTCCTGATTTTTTTTTTCTTTCAATTTCTATGAAGATTCTGTGATTGGGCCAGAACGATTCTACAGGGGTTGGGTGCTCGCCTTGCGCACAGACAGCCTGAGCTCAATCTCCTGAACCCCATTTGGCCGTCTGAGCCCGCCAGGAGTGATCCTGTGCACTGAGCCAGGAGTGAGCCCTAAGCACTGCCGAGTGTGGCCCCAAACAAAGTAAAATGCACCCTTGATTTCCAAAGTCGTTCATAGTAAGTGGGCTGGAGCGATAGCACAGCGGGTAGGGCGTTTGCCTTGCAAGTGGCCAACATGGCCGACCCGAGTTTGATTCCTCCACCCCTCTCGGAGAGCCCGGCAAGCTACCGAGAGTATCTCGCCCACACGGCAAAGCCTGGCAAGCTACCCCTGACGTATTCGATATGCCAACCACAGTAACAACTGTCACAATGGAGATGTTACTGGGCCTGCTCCAGCAAATCAATAAACAACGGGAGGACAGTGACAGTGATAGTTCACAGTAAGTTGTTTCAGGCATAAATATCCCAACACCAGTCCACCACCAATGTCCCCTCTCCCACTCGTGTCCCCTCCCCCAACGTCCCCTCTCCCACTGGTGTCTCCCAGTGCTCCCTCTTCCCCCAGAGTCCCTTTCCCCCATTAGTGTTTCCTCTGCCAGAGTCTCCTCCAGCCCCTGTGTCCCCTCCCCACACTGCACTCAGTCCTTTGGGCCACCTCCCTGTCCAGCGGCATTTCTTCAGTGTATCCTATTCTCTAGAAAACCTTTTTCTATACTTTAGTTTGTTTATTTGTGGGTGCTGACCTCACAAATATGGGGCCCACATCAATTTTCCAACCCCCATTTCTCCAGCCTGAATTCTTTCTCGTTCACCTCCAATGGTCCTGGACCCTATGGGTCAGACAGAGCCAAGGGACTTTCGCTGAGGCGGGCGCTTCCTACAAAGACCCCAGGGGCTATGGGTACCCCACTGCTCCAGGACCTCTCTTGCTCCCAAATGGCCTGACCAGGGCTCAGGAGCACTGAAACACACCCATATCTGGAGGCTGGAGGCCTTCCGGGGGCCCCCAGAAGAAGCTGATGGCCTTTGGGGCTCAACCCTCTTTCTCTGTGTGGGGGAGGGAAACCCCCTCTCTGGCCCTCTGAGGGGACCTGTCCTGGGGTGAGCTCAGGGAGGGCTGAGTGTGTGTGTGGGGTGGAGGACTCTTTCCCTAGGGGCCTCGGCAGGAGCAATGGCAGGAGTGGCCCATCTTTCAGGTGGCCCGGAGGAAGGTGGGAGGCAAGTCAGTCATCAGGTACCCCAATATTCTCAGTTCCACAACCTTTATTCCTGCATCCCGCCCCAGCGGTGACTCAGGGTGAAGCATCCAATAATTCCTGCCCAGGGCCAGGTTTGCTCGTCATCCCTCTTCCTTCACGGCGTGAAGATGGAGCAGCAGACAGTGTGCACGTCGGTCCTGCAGGGGCTCATGGACCGTGGGGGCACCCCAGGGCGTGCTGGGAGCTCTCAGCCACGTCTGACTTCATGCACCTCCTTTCCAGATGGTTAAGCTGGGCAGCACTGGGACCAGGCCCCCCTCCCCGCTCTGCGGACAGTTCGGTAATCTGAGAACGTCATACGTGCCACCGTGGGCGTGGGTGAGGGCACACAGGGGACAGAAGTGACCGGGAAGCAGAGCGAGGCGGCCACGAGCGTCGGAGCTGTCCACAGTCACCGTCCGCAAGGGTCCGAGACGTCGCATCCGGGCGCAGCTGCAGCTTCCTTAGCTGGTGGCGTCTAGCGGGGGCTCCGGGGACACTGGCCGGCTCAGGGTCACGCCGGGGAAACTGGCCACGAAGCTCTCCCAGCGCCTCTTGACCTGCGGACACGTCAGGGGTGGGAGCGCCGCGCTGTGGCTGCAGTTCCACCGACAGCCGCGTGGCGGTGCTAGAGCCGGCGGCAGAAGCGCTGCAAACTCGGGGCGCCCCGGGACCCCAGGGAGCGCCGCCCGTTTCCTGCGGGAGGGGGACGCAAAGCGGTCCGCGGAGGTGGGGGCAGGAGTGGACTTTGCATTGACCGAGCTCTTTGCCTGGGCAGCATTGATCCATCCAATCCACTTCCAGATCAATGGCCTTAGCGCTCCCCGTGACCGCCCAGCGCCTGTGCGGGAAATCCCGCGCGCCTGACTCGTCTGCGGGAAGCCCGGGTTCCAGCCCTGGCACCTCAGGGTGCCCCCAGCACCATGGGAGCTACTCTTAGCTCCTCTAAGTGTGCCCCCCCCCCCAACAAAACAGAGCGAAACATAACAAAAGTCCTGGGGGCCGAAGAGGTGGCACAGACCTTAAGGCGCTTCCCTGATGCCCAGTTTGACCCTCGGTACCGCATAGGGTCCCCTCGAGCCCAGCCAGGCGTGATCCTTGAGCACGGAGCCAGGAGTAAGTAAGTCCTGAGCACTGCCAGGTGTGACTCAATCCTCCCCCTTCCCCAAAATAGTCCCTGATGTCTCCGCTGAGCTCTGCCCCCTGAGTCCTCTCCCCCCAACCTCACCTCGGACGGCCCATCTCTTTCCTGCCCCCGCGGCCCTGGTCTCCTCTCGCTCCTTGCCTTTGCCTCCCAAACCTCTCCCTGGAGCCCCCAGCAGCGCCCCCCTTCCCACGTGATGTTCCTCCACCCTCCGACCCTCCACAAACCTGCTGGCAAGACTTCAGCCACCGCCGGCCGCCTCGGTGCTGCTCCTCGATCAGCTTCTCGGTGTCCCCCAGTGCCCCGGGGAGCCGCTCCGGAGCGGGGGTGTCGGGGCTCGCATCCACGGGCCTGTGTTTCTCACCCCGCTCCCTGAGGCTCAGGGACCGGCGCAGGCGGCCCCCCGAGCATCGCCCGCAGGGCTCCTGGAGCTTGCCGTAGGAGGAGCGGGACCCGCGCAGGGACTGGGTGCGGCGCCCCGGGCCCATGAGTCTGGAGGCTGAGGCGGCTCCAGCCCCTCCGGCAGCTGCCACCAGTCCTCTGGGACGGTTCTGAAGCTCCACCCGGCTGCCGGGAGCTCACCTGGGGGCAAAGGTTGGTGCTGTTGAGGTGGCCATCATAAACCAAAGGGCAAGTCACAGGGGCCGCCATCCCTGAATCATCTGCCTCACCTTCTAGGCTTCTTCTCCTCCTCCTCTTTCTCCAGGCAGCCTACCTGGGTTACCCAGCCCTGCAGCCCCACAGTCCTGGTTGTTTGGCTTCATTCCAATGGCCCCACCACAAAGCAGGGACAGAGTCTGAAAAGATGGGGCAGCTCTGGGCTAGAGAAATAGTATAGCGGGTGAGGCGTCTGCCTCGCAGGTGGTTCCACTCCTAGCATACTCATATATTGACCGAAGGCTGCCGGGAATGATTCTTGAGCACCATTGGGTGTAGGCCCCCTCCCAGTCTGCCCCCCCTCCAAAAAAATAGGGCAGCTCCAACCTCAAATTCATAGAGTGAGGAATGAGGTGGAAGGTTCAGGGTGGGGAGGATGGGGGTGTTCACCGTGAGCCCCAAATTTTGAACTGTTTATTTATTTATTTATTTATTTAATTCCTTTTTTATTTTTTGACCACACCCAACAGTGCTCAGGGCTTCCTCCTGGCTCTGTGCTCAGGGATCACTCCTGGCAGGGTCCGGGGACCATATGGAGTGCCAGGGATTGAACCCAGGTTGGTTGCGGGCAAGGCAAGTGACTTACCAACCGTTCTATCTCTCTGCCCCCCAGTAAGAAATACTTTCAAAAGATAGAGGACTGAGTCAGGAATGCCAGCTTAGCTCCCAGGCCGAGGTGGTCCCCAGGCGGGGCTCTGTTCTGAAATTTCCTCAGGGAAGTGGTCAACAGCTCAACCTCTGTAACCAGGGCACCTCCTGACTGCTCCCTGGGTCCCCCTGTGTGCATAGGACCTGACCCGGGGTGGGGGGAGCTTAGGTAGGGGGAAACCCCATGGAAGTGGTGTTTATTTTCTTTATGGTACTGAAAATATACTTTATACAATAGCTGTCAGCAATATACTGGCTCCAGAGAATAATAAAAAGGTTTCATTTTTTTCCAAATAATTCTAAAGAAAATACTCTAATTCGGTCCAAAACTATGATTTGGAAAAAAGTTAAAAGTTAGTCATGATGAAAATATAATTGTGATGACCAACATTAATAATCTGTAAATTATCAATGCAAAGTTTTAAAAGTTCACATCAGTAAGTGGTGTGTTCTTTCTTTTTTTGTTTGCTTATTTGAGCGACCCCCTGAGGTGCTCAGGGCTTACCCCTGGCTCTGCTCACTCAGGGATCATGTGGGGTGCCGGGGATTGAACCCTGGTTGGCCACGTGCAAGGCATGCGCCCTCCCTGCTGTGCTATGGCTCTGACTTGGGTGGCGTGTTTCTTAGCAGAATCCCTCCTGGGCTAGTTAGTACCTGTCGTGTGTGTTCTTGCGGTGTGAATGTGGCAGCCCCAGGACTCTTGCACAGGAGCCTGGGAAGGCATTTGGGGGTGGACTTGGAGCTGGAGGCACGGTAAGGTCCCCCCAACACTGCTGGGAGTGTCTCCAAAACCAAAATTTTAAAAAATGCATGTAAGAAGAGATGTGAGGGTCAGAGGGTATGAGGGCTGAAAGGGGTCTCTCTTCCTCTTTTATTTTTTAAATTTTATTTATTTATTTATTTGCTTTTTGGGTCACACCCAGTGATGCTCAGGGGTTATTCCTGGCTCTGCACTCAGAAATTACTCCTGGAGGTGCTTGGGGGACCATATGGGATACCGGGGATCGAACCCAGGTTGCCCGCATGCAAGGCAAATGCCCTACCTGCTGTGCTATCGCTCCGGCCCCTCCTCTTTTATTTTGAAACACTATTTTGGAGCATGTTTGCCATTTCTGGAGCTTTTCTTTCTTTTTTTTGGGGGGGGGGGATGAGATTTGGCCCATTCCTAGTGGTGCTCAGGGACTAGTCCTGGCTCTGTGCTCAAGGGCACTCTTGGCAGTGCTATGGGGACTGAATGTGGTGCCAGGCATGGAACCCGGGCCAGCCGCGTGCCTGGCAGGCCCCTTTCCGGTTCTATCTCTCCTGCCCTTATATTTCATTTAAACCTCACGAGAGCACTATGAAATGTCCCCACTCCATCCTTTTCTGGTTCTGGGGCCATACCTGGGAGTGCTCCGGGGGCTGGATGGTGCGGAAGGTGGGACCCTGACTCCCACACCTCCCCCCTGCATACCAGCCCTCAGCGCCATCTCCCTGGCCCAGTTTCCCCGTCTTACAGCCCAGGAAGGTGAGTGCCCCAGAGATCACTCAAGTCCGGCAAGTGGCAGGCCAGGGACAACCCCCTCTGCCCGCGGTCGGCCTGACTTTCAAGGTCCCCCAACTGCCGGCCAGCTGCCTGGGGCTGAGGGTCAGGGCCTGCCTCTGACGTTTGGGAAGCATCAGGGCAGCCGGTGTGGGGTAGGGAAGCACACGCTGCAGCTCTGGTTCACCCAGGCCCTCCACCGCAGGCTGGGCCTTGCTCTCTTTCCTCTCTGGAAGTTTTCTGGACCTTCCTGGATGAGGCAATCTCAGAAGCCACTGCAACCCCAGCCAGGCGGGAGGGTCCGAGGACAATGGGAAAGGGCCTCAGCCTGTCCTGAGTGCTGTCCCCAGGCAGTCAGGGAATCTGGGTCCTGTGCACTGTCCAGCAGGTGGGATCCTGCCAGGAGGCATATGGGCTTCGGGCATCGGGCACTGGGACCGCCAGTCAGTCTCCACCCGACCCCCTTTCAGCTCAGCGACGCGGCCGGCCATGGTCCCACCCCGCCAGCCTGGGTTGAGGGACCCGTCCTTGTCCTTGCTCCAGCTCGTCCCCTGTCCCCTAATGAGGCCATTCCTGCCGCGTGCTGGGCATCTCTGTGCTCAGGCGGCTCGGCAGAGCTTCTTCAGTCCTGGCGATGAGTCACTGTTGACCGCTGTGCAGCAAATCACCACACCCAGCCTGGACCACAACCGGGTGTTTCCTCGGGTGCGACCCAGACCTGGAGGAGCTCAGCTCGGGGGCGGGGCTCAGGCGGCTCTAATGGAGTTGAGGGGCTGAGGGCACCTCCCAGGTCCTGGGGGATAGTCTGCCTCCAAGTTCCCTTGGCAATTGTTAAATGGGGGGACCGGTTTCCTTTTCCTTTTCCCTTTTTGCGGTGGCGGGGTGGGGGCACTGTGCTCAAAGCTCACTCCTGGCTCTGCTCTCAGGGGTCACTCCGGGCGGTGCTCCTTAGAGGGAGCCGGGGTTGAAACCTGGGTGGGCCGCAAACCACGCCTGCGCCCTCCCCCGCTCTGCTAGGCTCAAGGCACAGCTTCCTTTTTCTTTTCTTCTGTTGGAGTGTTCGGGCCCCAGGTGGCAGGGCCCGGGGTTATTCCCGGTTCTGTGCTCAGGAGTGACCTCTGGTGGCGCCTGGGGGATCATGTGATGCTTGGGCCATGATCTACAGGGCTGACAGCTCCTTTTGCATGTGGCAATGCTGAGTCCCATCCCTGGCACCACAGTGTCTGCTCAGCGCTGCCAGGCAGAGCCCGAGTATCGCAGACGGGGCTAACAGCCAATAATGCAGGGCCACAGGTAGGCATGGGTGGGTCGTGTGCTCCTTGGAGCACTCAAGAGTCTGCACCCGTGGATCAGTGTATGCAGAGGAGGGTGTTGTCATTGTTTAGGGTGGGGGGCACACTCAGACGTGCTCAGGAGACCTTGTGGGCTCCGAATTGAACCCCAAACCCTGCATGAAAGGCTCCCGCCCACTGGCCCCCTCAACCCTAACTTTCATCTGAAATCACAGAGATGAAGCAACTTACCCAACGACACACGGTTTACAGGAAGTGAGGTCTAAAATCTAGTCCCGCAGAGCCAGTCTAAGACTCAACAGTAAATATACGTTTCTCTCCCCCTCGCCCCATCCCGCTTGGTCAAGTCTGGGTTTTCATACACCTGCAGGATGATCACAGAACTGCAGCCTAGTGGTTATGTTGCTGGGATTTTCCTGGAAAAAGGGCTATCTGGGCACCCTCCATCTTGTGGGAGAAATGCCCCAGAGACATGGCTAGGGCATGCCACCCAACCTTCCCAGGGAGACTGGATGGGGCTGAGAACTCTGAGGCCTTCTCAGAACGGGGGCGGCAGCTTCCACTGCTTCCTGAAGGCCCAGCAGACCGCAGCCACACCCGACACCCTCCAACCCAGAGCCTGCCCTGCTCCACACGGGGCCTCATCAAGCTGACAAGCCAAGCAAATCGTCCCAGACCCACAGCTCCTGGAGTGCCTCCAAACCCTACAGCCAAGCAGGATCGCAGCAAATCTGATGCGAAGGTTGTGTAGAAGCCACCCAGCTCAGCGAGCCTAAACAATGGTTCAGCGGGGGCCAACGGGCAGCTGAGATCTCAGACAATGACTTCCGCGGCACCATCATGAGACACAACCTTCACGAGCCGACTTTTATTGATCTAAGGTTTGATCATTTCATTTGCCTTTGTGTGGTACAAACAATATAAAGTAGGCTGGGGTGGTGGGTGGGAGGCGGGGGACATGGGTGGAGGGACAGGCACACTGGTGGTGGGATTGGTATCAGAACATCGAGTACCGGAAACAACTGCATTATGAACAATTGGTCAATCATGGTGTTACAATCATTTTTATTTTTATTATTTTATTTTATTTATTTTTTTGCTTTTTGGGTCACACCCGGCGATGCTCAGGGGTTACTCCTGGCTCATGCACTCAGGAATCCCTCCTGGCGGTGCTCGGGGGACCATATGGGATCCTGGGAATCGAACCTGGGTCGGCCATGTTGGCTGCGTGCAAGGCAAACGCCCTACCCGCTGTGCTATCACTCCAGCCCCTCATTTTTATTTTTAGAAAGAAAGAAAATACGATATCTCTCAGAAGTGAGGTGAGGGTTGTGGAGATGTATGCATCTAATTGAGCACTGTTTTTGGAGCAGGAGAGGGCTCAAAGGGTGGAAGCA